TATTCGCATCTTTTATGCAATATTCCAGTTTTGCACAAATGTATGTAATATATTTGGATGGAAACATATTGCCTACATTTTAGTCACACACAGAAGAACTGTACGAGAATGGCTTATCCTTTTTTAATAAATAATTAAATTAAATTCACCTTCGACATGCATGTAACTAGATTAATGGGATTATTATTCTTTCTAAAATTATTTTTAGTACTGCTTACCTTCTAAATGTTATATTAACCTCTATCACTTGATCAATAAAAAAGGCAGACACACAAGTGACTGTTAAATCATTTAAAACTAATAAATGTGTAAAAAAGTTTAGAAAAAATATATATAAACGTCATAAATTACATTACTTATTTTATTATACTTAAATATTTAAATACTTAAAAAGTGAAATTAGGCATTAACTTGAGCAGCTGTATTCCCACGCTAACTGTCTCTTCTTTACTGATGGTTGCTCCTTTTCAAATATATACGCTCATATTTGCTATAACTTTGCATGAGAACATCAAGTTCAGCTGGAGAAAAAAATGGTGATCTCTTTTTTTAAGATATTGCCATAGTCACTCGTAATGTCTGCGCTCTATTGATAATGCCTTTTTAAAGTCACGGTGTGCGCGCTTAACTCTGAGTTGGTCTACTCGAAGTTGATTGACCCAACTCAGATCAGCTATTCTGAAACCGAAAACTCACAGTTTTTAATCTCTCGGTAAATCAACTCAGAGTTCAAGTTTAAACTCTGAGTTGTTTGAACCTCCTTACTGAAACAGGCCCCTGTCCTCAATCTGGCAACCTGCACTTCTGTTTATTTTGATCCAGGAGTGCAATACCTAGTTCAACCACTGGGTGTCAAACTTATATACTGCACCTTTAACAGAAGACATCTTTTCCAGGAATGCCCATGCATATTTCAACAAGACTATGCAAAACCATTCCGCACACATTCAGCACACATTACAATTTACTCCTGGCTGAGAGGAAGAGGATACAGGTACTTGACTGGACTGTCTGCAGTGAAGTCTGCTGTTTTAAGTGCAAAATGTGACCACAAAGAGGCCATTCTGTGGCCCACCTTAAGTATTGTTTGCAGAAAGGATGGGACAGAATTAAACCTGAAACACTTCATCACTTGGTTTCTTAAGTCCCTAAACATCTTTTAAGTGTGAAAAAGAATGGCAACTTTATAAAGTGGTAAATTACTGTTTCAACTTCTTTGAAATTTGTTGCAAGAACCAAAATTGGTATACATGTTTATTTAGGCAAAAAAAAAAAGCAATAAAAATCATGAGGAAGTTTGTTGTATTGCAATAAAATCAAAGTCAAAGTAAGTTTAGAGCATTTTTCTTCCTTTTTTTTTTTTTTGCATTTGACATACTGTCCTAAGTTTTTCTTATTTGGGGTTGTATTTTTGTTACTTACATTTTTTATAATAAACTACAGATGTATTTATCAGTATGTTAAGAAGTAATTACATTCAGTTATAACTGGCCTTGTCATAATGCCAAAGTCACCTTCAGTGCAACAAACCACTGGTTATTAAAAAAACTCTACGTTTCCAAGATACCGATGTCCATTCATTTTTATTTTATTATAAACACAGTTAAAACTAAAGGCAAACAAACCAAGCGATTTCACACCCTGCATAACTAAAGGCTTTCAAATAAACAAAATCAATCAGGGAGGATCACATGACCTCCATCTCAAACAACTCAATCCCTAACAAGGAAAGACATAAAATCAACATACACAAATGCACAATCACATAATGGAATACGAAGAACAACAAACATAAAATATGCAAGTTGACCGATTAGCAACAGCTACACTACCACCAAATTACCTTTGACTCATTTCAGATATCAATAATACAATCAATGGGAATTTCTAAACATTGACACAATAAATTATCTCAACTCACAATTCATAATTTATACAGATTCTAGTTAAAAATCAACAATTACTTTATATTATTCACACTGTAAAAAAAATAGTTATTATATACTGAAAAAATTATATACTTTTTTCAGTTGGCCCAAATGAAAATGGAAAAACAACCTGTTTCACACTGGCAACAGCCTGTTTACAATGGGAGAATAATGTGTTTAACCAATTAAAAAAAAACATGAAGTCTTCCCAATCATGTTATTGGCCCAATTGAATTTTCCAAACAGACGTGCAAAAATGTCAAAAACACCATAAAATTTAAGCACTTTTTCAGGTTACTTCAACCATTGTTAAGGGTAATGTCACCTGAATATTACCATTCCACAAAAGGTAATCTGAGCTCATGAAATAACATTTTAATGGTTAAACTAGTAAATTTAAATACACAATTAGTATTGTTACATATTGAAAAGTCAAAAACACCATGAAATCTTAATAATGGATCACTTAACCTAGCTGACACAGATTATTCCAGAAAAAAAAATCACAAAAGAGAAACTTGAACAAATTGAACAATTTCATTTCAAACAAATTAAGCTGCATATTTTAAAAACCCTATCATACACCAGGCACAATAAGTCACAAGACCTGTTTCCCCCAAAGTGTTGCTATTTTAAGACCAACACGACCTTAATTTTCTTATTTTCTGCCACGTTGTTTAAATAGTAAATACCTTTACACCACTTTGTGGTCTCATAAGTGTTTTGGTCTAGAAAAGAGGTGTGTTAAGGCACATTGTTGATGCGTTGCTATTTTGAGGAACTAAAATAGACTGCAATAGACGAGCTGAAAGCATATTCATATTTGTTTTTATTAAAAAGAAGCTTAGATTTGTCCACCTGTCAGGTTTTGGACAATACAGGACATAGCATGTGTATTTGGATATAACTAATAACTTTTTTGACCACACTTCGTTAATATTGTTCATTTATTCGTTTGCTGGAAATTAGAACTGAATTTGGAAATAGCTTTGAAACAAATCTTTGCGCTTAACAAGCAAAGTTAATTATGTAGGCTAATGTGTGCATACAACAGGTTTTTCAAAAATATTATTGTTGGGTCACAAAATCTAATTTTATAATTACAGAATGTGGATGTTGACACAATAATTAGCATAGTAACAGTAGAGTAATTAACTTTCAATACTGTGAGATTGCTATGTGGTATAATGCATTTTGTCCTACTTTGGAAGTCAGTGGTTACAGGTATTCAGTTTTCTTCAAAATACTTTCTTTTTTGTTTAACAGAAGAAATAAACTCACAAAAGTTTGAAACCCAATGAGGCTGAGTAAATAGTGAGTACATTCAAGTTTTTTGGGGATGAATTATCCCTTTAAGAACAACTCCAAATCAATGTTCAATAATTTCAAGTTAATTTCAGAGTTCATAATTTCAGAGTTGTGTTTCACATAATATTTTGTTTTATAATGAATGGCTAAATAAGGCTGGAGTAGAGCTGATAACTCGTTAACATATAACTGCGTGAACTTGAGAAACAGTTTGCATTACACCGAGTCACGGCACATGGTTGCTCTCACTCTACACACACATTAAATCTTCGAACTATCAGTATTTGAGACTTATATGAATAAACATATAACTTGTTCAGTTGTTAAAAAGGTACTTACTGTAAAAGTCATCATGGTTGATATGTACCTCACCTAGCAGTGTTGGCTACACATTACAGTAACACTGAAAGAAAAAAAAGAAAAAAAAATGTTATAGCAGATACACATATCTTCCATCATGAAGTAATAATTTAATAGCAATATACTTTATACAAACAGTAAGTAGTAAAAAAGCACACAGAGAGATCGCTCAAAACCACAAGTTAGATGTCAATATTACAGGCATGAATTTGGTTTTTCTGCCAAATATAACTAGAGTAATATACATAATTAATGTTGTGTACAACATTATTTCAGAGGTGGCAGGTTAACACAATAACCACGCCGTTTGTTTTTGTCGAAATTACTGGCCTCAAAATTTTTATTTTTTAATTTTATAAAAGAGGTATTCAGGATGAACAAGCTCTGAATGTGACATTAAATGACCAATTTACAGCAATTATGAAGAACAAACAAAAACAGGAGAGCATTACATGTTTTTTGTTTGTTTATACATTAAAAAAATGTCAAGAAATGCTTTTTAGAATAAAGTTAAAGCCTTTTTGTTCAGCTTTAGTTCTTTTTTTAAATACTTACCAAGCGCTGTTTAATGGTGAGATCTTTCAACATGTTTCTAAGCATAGTTTTAAAAACAGATTTCAAATAACTTTATTATTTTGCCTTTGCCATATTTATATGTGCATATATGTGCATAATAGGCCTGTTTTACCAGATATTTTGCAAGATACTAGTATTCAACTTAAATCATAAAACAAACTGGTTCCCATTCATTTACAACTTGTGTTTGCAGAGCACAAAACACAAGATTTTACTTTAACAGAGTGTGCTAGGGGATTCTATAACACTCGCACACTCAATGAGAAACTAAAGGTTTTCGCTTTCGGCTGCTGCAGTGTCCAGCACCCTCATCTCACCTATAATTTTAAAGTTTATTCATCTGTCCAAATAAAGTCAATTCAGCAGCATACGTATTACGTTTGAAGTTATTATATAATAATTACTTTTCTGTTTAGAGCTCATGCCTGCGCAGGCGTGTCATGATCTAATCTGAATAAAGAATTGATTCTGAACTTCTGAGTATCGATTCAGAATTATTTGAGAAAGATCTTGCAATGCTTTTATATTTATATAAGTATGTATATATACCAATTTTTTTCCCAGCCCTTATGTGTGTGTGATTTTTAAATTACTCCTTGTTTTACACTGTTACACTAAATGAGATGTAACATCTGTCAGGAAAACATCATTTGTAGCTGTAGTTATAAACTGCTTACTAATGTCTATGAATGTAGAATTATTGCTTAAGAAATGAATTATATTTGCTAATGCTTATTAAATGATTCATATTGTGCAGTTATTCTAAAGTGTGACCAATAACTATTTTCCCTACAATTACTTAATATACTCTCTTCTGCTTGTCTATAGCCCTGAATGAGCCCACCATAGACTATGGTTTTCAGCGGTTACAGAAAGTGATACCTCGACATCCGGGAGACCCTGAACGCTTGCCAAAGGTATGAATAGCATTTCCATAATTTCAAAGAGAACACCAGTATTAGCCTAAAAAAAATAATCAAATAAAGTGAACATAAACAGAAATTTGGCACTTGATTTTGATGGTCCCCCTAGAGAGTTTGAACTTGAAACAACTGAGGCTGTTGTGGCCTAACGGGTAGAATATTGGACTTGTAATTGAAAGATCACAGGATCTATTTCCAGTCCGAGCAGGAATTGAAGACAGAGGGTGTAAATGAACCTCACTCTATCAACCCTTCATACCCAACCCCTAATTGCTCCCTGTGCAATAGCTGCCCACTGCTCCGAGTGTATGTTCACTGTGTGTGTTTGCTTGTTGATGTGGGTAGTGAATAAACCTAAAACTTTCAATACCCGGTTGAGGTGCCCATGAGCAAGGCTGGAAGCAATAGTATGCTCAGTGTGTGTGTGTGTGTGTGTGTGTGTGTGTGAGAGAGAGAGAGAGAGAGAGAGAGAGAGAGAGAGAGAGAGAGAGAGAGAGAGAGAGAGAGAGAGAGAGAGAGAGAGAGAGAGAGAGAGAGAGAGAGAGAGAGAGAGAGAGAGAGAGAGAGAGAGAGAGAGAGAGAGAGAGAGAGAGAGAGAGAGAGAGAGAGAGAGAGAGAGAGAGACTTTGACTTTTAACAACTCTTTAATTACAACAGTTCAAAAACTGTATCAGGTTAAAAACAATTACAGCTTATTACAAAAACATGTATATACACACACAAAAAATAAAAATAAAATAATAATCAATAACACCCAAAATAAATAATAATAAAACAATGATAAAAAACTAATACCACCAAGTTTACAGCAATATATCACAGCCTCCTTCTTCATTAGGTTGACATAAAATATTTTCAACACCCCATACAAGAAAGAAAGAATCAACATCATTCACCAATTTATAATATTTATACTCCATTACTACTTTTTAACAAAATTCTGAACAAGTTCAAAGGATCAGTATTGCTGTCAAATAGCATTTTATTTTTTTTGTCAACCATGCTGCCTAATAGAAAATTTGTTAAAACATTTTTTTTTTCTTATTTAAAGCATTGTATTTTGGTCCAAAGATAAAAAGACTATTAGTAAAAATGAAACCAAATTTCTGACACAAGTCTCTCAACATGTCAAACAATCTAAAAAGCCTTGAAGATCCAATAAATAGGTGAGCCATTGTTTCTGAAAGGCCACAAAATATACATTCATCTCCTTGTACCGGATTTAAATGATTCTTATAACGATTTGTTGCCAATATCCAATGAGAGATCCGCCATTGTAAATCTCCGCTTCTTTTTTCAATTGGTACTTTATATAATGACCTCCAACATCCTTTTGGAGTGGTACCAATTTCAACAAAATTTCCCCATTTGGTTTCTGGAATTTCTCTCAAAGATTTTAAATTTAAAAATTTAACACAAAGACAATAGAATGAATTTTTAGATATTTCATCAAAGAAATCAAGTTGCGGTGTTTTAAATGAAAGTAATCTAGTATCATCCTCCTGCCAATCTTCTAAATTTACTTTTACACTAATCCTGGGAAATGCAGTCTTAATTACTTCTGTTTGCAATGCTACTACATGAAACAATTTTTGAACCTCATATAACAATTTTTCAATAAACCTAACAGAGTGAACATTAATTTTCACAGCAAGTTTTTCTGCAGAAATCCAACTATCCTGTATTCTTAAATGACAGATTTTGACAGGTTCCTCAAGTACCCATTCTTGTGTTACTTCGGTCAGTTCTCTTTTAACTATAAATATTTGCCATGCATTTAAAACTGATGTATAAAAAGAAGAAAGCCCATTAAAATCAATATCTTTCAAATTCATTAAAAAAGGTGTCTGTTCAAATTCATCCGTCCCACTCAGTTGAATAAGGTACAAGCAATAGCTGTCCAGTTTAGAGACTTTTGATAAAGAAGTTTTTGTGCAGTCTGCAATCTGAAAGCAGCTACTTTGGACTTAATGTCCATGAGGCCTTAACCACCCTCATTTAATTGTAGATACAATATTGTCTCTTTTAGCCAATGGTTTCCATTCCAGAAAAAATCTATGAACACTTTTTGAATTTCTCTAATAAAACCATCTTGTGGATTCAACACAATTAATTTATGCCATAGAACAGATGCAGCAAGGTTATTTATAACCAGCACTCTACCCCTATACGAAAGTTGTGGTAAAATCCAATTCCATTTTGATAATCTATTACACACTTTTTCTTTAACATTTTCCCAATTATTTCTTTGATACGATTCGGATCCCAAAAAAATACCTAAATACTTAAAACCATGTTTTTTCCATTTTCCATTTTCAGGAATAACAGGTAACCTCATTGTACTTTTTTCATTGCATCAAAAAGCCTCTGTTTTAATCCAATTTAACTTTGCAGATGAAGCCCTCTCAAATAAAGAGATGCTGTTTTTAACCATATCAACATCTTTTTGATTTTTTTACTAAAATAGCGATGTCATCTGCATAAGCTATTACTTTAACTGAATTGCATATATCATCAAGTTTAAAATCAGACAAATTTACTCTTAATAAACACAGTAATGGTTCTACTGCCAAAGCATAAAGTTGGCCTGATAAAGGGCATCCTTGTCTTATGCCTTTAAGTATTCTTAATGGTTTACTTAAGCTACCACCTATTTTTAAAACAAGCATTTGTGTATAAAAGTTTGATCCAAGAAATAAAGACATTTCCAAAACCAAAAGCTCTCATAGTTTCAAATAAAAAACCATGGTCCACTCTATCGAATGCTTTCTCTTGATCTAAAAACAAAAAACCAACATTCACATCATTTAGTTTAGAATAATCTAAAATGTCTCTTACCATGAAAATGTTGTCATAAATTGTTCTATCTGGGATACAATAGGATTGATCTAGGTGTATTAAATCACCAAGTACAGTCTTTAACCTATTAGCCAACACTTTGGCCATTAACTTATAATCAGTAGTTAAAACAGACACAGGCCTCCAGTTTTTAAGATCACTCAAATCCCCCTTTTTTGGCAAAAGTGTTAAGACAGCTCTTTGACAACTTGTAGGAAGACTTTTTTCTTTAAAACATTCTTGAATCACTTCATAAAAATCATTTCCAATAATATTCCACATAGACTAGTAAAAATCAATAGACAGTCCATCAATTCCCGGGGCTCTACCCATCTTCATCTGTTTTACTGCATCCATTAATTCTTGATATGGAATAGCACTGTCCAAAAACTTGCGCTGTGTTTCAGTAAGAGTAGGGATTTTTTTCCATTATTTGTGACATGCACTCAATATTAGTTTCTTCCTTCTTGTATAAGTCTGAACAAAAATCCACAGCTATCTTGCTCATTTTTTCTGGATCAAAAGTCTTTAGTCCTTCAGGGGTCTTCAAACAATACATTTCATTTTGTTTTTTTTGACACTTTTTCTAGATTAAAAAAATAAGAAGTAGGAGCATCCATCTCGTGCAATGACATAAAACGAGATCTTATCAAAGCACCTTTGGCCCGCACTTGCAATAATGATTTTAAATCTTTATTTTTTTTTACTTAAAAAGACTGCTGAAGATGAATCAGAATGCTGAATCATGCCAGACGTAATATGACAGATTTCATGCTCTATTTCCGAAATTTTTTGTTTTATTTTTCTTGTTGAAAACCATGTATATTGTTGACAGAATATTTTTATTTGAATCTTTCCTAACTCCCACCACTGTAACAAATTTTTAAATTCTTTTTTCCTAAAACTCCACTCCTCTCAAAATAATTTAAATTTTTAATAATTTTTTTTTTTTTTTATTAAGATTAAGATTGTTTTTCTTTCAATAAAGCAGTATTAAATTTCCAATAAGGGCTTTTAAAATTAGATTGTGTTAAAACAATACTGACTGTAATTAAATTATGGTCTGATAAACAACAGGGAAAAATATTGCACCGACTTACTCTGTTTTTACATAAAACCGATCAAGTCTTGCTACACTTATCATTCCCAGATTTATTTTAGTCCATGTGTAGTGTTTTATTTTCACATTTTGGTCTCGGCACACATCTACCAAATCATTCTGAATTATGAAACTTTTTAAAAAAGATGCCAATGCAGGATGTGGTTCTTGATTGTTTCTATCTAAAAGAAAATTAAGAGTGCAATTCCAATCTCCTCCCACAATTAGAAATCCCTCCAAAGTATAACTATTTAAAAAATGTCTTAATTTCTTAAATACTGCAAATTTTTCTGAGCATTTATTGGGAGCATAGATATTTATAAATTCAAAGAGTTGATTGTTTACTTTAGCTTTTACCAACATAATACGTCCTTTCTCTATTTCTACTTCTGATATAATATTTATATTTAAGTACTTTGAAAACAAAATAGCTACCCCTGCGCTGATATTTGTACCATGACTAAATACAGTTTTTCCTTCCCACCATAATTTAATCTCAGATTCATTCTTTTGATCACTATGAGTTTCTTGTAAAAAAGTTACATGTGTTTCTTTAAGTTTAAGAAATTCAACAAGTAAAGCTCTTTTATTCCCATCCCTCATCCCATTTATATTTAATGATCCTACTTTGAGAATCTGCATTGCAGGGAAGATAGAAAGGGAAACAGGAAACAACAGTAAAGTAAAACAAAAATAAAAATAGATCCCTCTCCCATGTGATTTATTTTTTCCGTTTTGACACTCTTCCTTGTTCTTTTTGAGCTTTGCGTAACGTTGTTACAAACTTACTCAATCGGAATCGTTTTTGTTTTGAAAGTACCTCATAGCCCACATTCTTCTGAGCAATCAGCACCGATTTAATAAATTTATTGCCATCGGGAAAGTGCTTAACTATGTCAGTCTTTTTTCCTTTAGTTGAATCTAAAAAAGCATTCAATTCTTCTACCGAATACACATCATCCAACGCCTGACTACACTCAATTTCCGAAAACTCTGAACAGTTATCATCGCAGTCCTCCATATTTTCATCACTATTTTCATTCTCTGCAAGCACCTC